ATGGATGACTTCAAGATTTCCTGGGAACACCTGGTCTCACTGCTCTGTGATCTCTGCTCTGTTCTGCAGACCAGCCTAATTAAGCATCTGCTTCCAGGCACACAGAGCTGTTACATCAGCCTCTCCCTTTGTGAATTCCTACCTTACACCCTTTTTACATCAGTCTAAGACACCCTTGGGCACGATTACTGGATTTTGTAACATCACACTAAATATTGCATCTAGGTCATCGCTCTTTCACCATGTCAATAGATTACACAGAGTCAAACAACGAATTAGTCAGAAAATTACTACCAAGTCTACATCCCTGATGCACCAAGATTTTAGCTCACAGCAGTAGAAGTGACAGCAGAGCTCCTCAGTACCACCCTGCAGCATTTCAGACCGATGCTGTCAGTTACAAAGGACCTCCTGCAGAAACTGTTCCATTTAGATTAAAATACAACACTGTCCTGTGTGAACCATTAAGTTTGCAAATGCCACTTGCCCAGCAAAACCAGGTACCAAGTCACCTCCAAGTCAGGCTCTCAAAGAAGCAATAAAATCTCCCCACTGTAAGAACACTAAAGCAAGCATTATACATCTTCTCTATTTTGATAACTTGTTATGCTAGTGCCTTACCCTAGGACTTGGTATCACAAGCTATCACTCATACAAATGTTTAAGTATCAGAGGAGACTCAGCAGGGTACAGTGCACCTGAAAAGCCATCTCGTACATCTATAGCATCATAAAACTCTTTAGAAGATGAATTTATTACTATTTGCCTGAATCCTAGCACATGTATTAAAAAGTTTATTAATGCACTGACTCCTCATAAATACATTCCACTTCCAGTTCGTGCTCAAAAGCCCAGTTCCAGATTAAATCCTTTTAATAAACAACCGCTGAATTACAACAGTCTCTGAAACGGCAGTATTACTGTACTCTCTACTGAAACTTCAGTGGCTTACTGTAGCACGTGTTAACCCAACAGCAGAGTTCTTCCTACTCCAAAAGACATTTGTAACTCACGCAGCCTTGTCACAAGTCCAACAATGCTTACCATGTTTTAAGTCTCAATTACACTACGCACGCAAAGGTCCTAAAAAAGCTCTATCAACATTACTCAAAAAAACCCAGTACTTTCCAGAGTAAACACGTCACAGTTCTCATCTGTTTCTCCGATGACGAAACTTATGTCACAACACAAACACAGAACAAAAACTATGCCTTATAAGGAAAATATAACTTCAAGTCTAGAAAAGAAATTTAAGAAATTATCTGCCCTGAGCCACCGAATTGTGAAATCTACAGTCACATGCAAAGGATGAGGCACACTCATTGCAGTCAAATAATCAGACCACAAGCTCACAAGGCCATGATCTGCCTGCCGCCGTGGCTGGAATCCTGGCACGAGTGACCTCACCCACTCGCGTACCACTTGGTGCAATGTGGGCTTGCTGTTGTTTTTTAAACATCCCCAAAACACAAAAACATAAACAAAGTATATACCTTTTTCCGCTTGGTACTTCTACATTTCTCCCCAGAAAGAATGCCATGCAGCACAACGTCAGTGACCCCACAGTTATGTTTTTCCACCTGCACCCGACAGACAGTTAAGTGACCACACTCAGAAGCGACCACACTTGGCCTCTCTGCTCCTTTTAAACCAGGCGTCCCTTTTTTCTCTGCTGTTTGAAAGGCTGCCTTGAAATTTAAAGGATTATACGGATCATCTGAGGTACAGAACGAGTTCCAAAGTTTCAAGTTTTCTTCCTCATCCACACTGCTACAGTCCCACTCCTCGTCCTCGTCCTCCTCCTCCTCAGAACTAGGGTGAGGAGAGCCTGAGGACTCCTCTGCCCATGAAGAATCTTCCTCCTCCTCCTCCTCGTCCTCCGCATCCGACATATCCTTTCCTGGATCGCTGGAAGATGTCTGAATAGTGGCTGTGAAGTTCTGAGGGTTGTAGGGGTCCAGACTATAGAAGGAATTCCAGAGATGTAGTCTTTCCCCGTCCTGGCTACCGGTGTCTGAATCCGAGGGGAGCCCTTCGCTATCAAACCCGTCATCGTCATCATCCCAGTCTTCCTCATCATCCGCACTCTCCTCCCCGCTGGAAACTCCGCCTAGGATATAGTCTATTAGTTTATTCGCACAGGCAGGCCTAGCTGAAACTGGAAGGTTTTGCTCTGTTTCGGAGTTCTCGTCGTCCTCTTCAGTCAGGGCTTCCCCCTTCGCAGCTGAGCCCCTGACCCCCTCCTGCTCCGAGGGGCTATCTCCAGGCTGTCTCCCCGCATCGCTCGGCTCCTCGGGCCGCTCCAACTCCCCGGCATCTCCCCGCTGCTCCCGCCACCGCCCTACCTCTTCCTGACCAGGGCCCTGCTGCTGCTGCTGCTCCTCCTCCAGGCTGTGGCAGCCGTGGTCCGGCTCTGGCACGGCCAGCCCACCGCTCGCTAAAGGCCAAGGATGAAGAAACGCCAAACGCTTGC